ACATTGTGGAAATAAATCTGCAAGGGAGTGAATATCACTGCACAGTGGTAATAATCGCTCTGTACAGCAGTTATTATTTCAGGTGAAAATCACCACTTCTATTAACACATTCGCCAAGCTGTGTTGCGCCAATGCACAAGTCAATTTCACCACTTATGTTTGTTATATTAACCATAGTATCTTGATGTTATTCACCCAATTTGATGTCTCAAAATAAGCTAGCTAAAATGGTAAAAATCATGATGCTCTATTGGGTGATTTCACCCCATTTTTGAGGATACATAGACCCACAATAGTGGTGTTTTTACAATGCACATATTGGGAATGCCACTGCCGTGCATGTGCATACTGCTATTACAGTATTTCTTGCATTAATGCTGCAGAATTGAACAATAGAACCTGTGTACACTGCAGGCAACATGCTATGTTGTCAGAACTTTCTCAGGCGCATTATGAACCATTGTAATCGACTACAATGGAAAATACATAAAAATCAATCGTAATGAAAGGCACTTTCCATTGGCAAGGGCATTACAATGGCCATAACAATACAAAAATTCCCATTGTAACCGCTTAGTAAGTGTTGAAAACGGCATTTTAGTCGCTTCACTTTGATGGTGATGCATTACAATGCGCATTATTATTGATTATAATTAAAGGCACTTCCGAACCCATTAGAATGCCCCTTTAGAAAGTTCCGACAGTGCATATATTTGAGAACTGCTACTGACAATACTGTCAGGCATAGGTACTTGGATCCAAAACTATGGATTGCCAGTTGCACAAACCTGCAAAGCCAACTTGTGTGTGAATTGAATCTGAATTGCATACCCGTTTCCACCTTAGTCCCTATCCATTCCCATGCTCTCCTTGCCTTTGCCTTTGCCTTTGTCCTTGCCTTTGCCTTTGCCTTCACCCTTGCTGCTGCTGTTATTCAACCCTTCATTCACCCCTGCTGTTTTGCTGTCTTCAAGCTCATCAATATGGGTGCATGTATGCATTCTCTCATTGTTGATTTTGGCCTCAGCCTTGTGTTTACAGGTTTGAGGCTTCCAAGAATTCTGCAGGTACTGTTTGACTATCTCAGCCAATGGCCAATCAAAGTCATATTGTTCATAGAGGTCAGCCTTGTGGATACAACAGACCTGCAGTCATACTCAATTGTAAGTCCTAATTCTCGGTATAAAATGTAGAAACCTACAATTTTGAAGAGTTTACCCAGCTTTTTGTGAGGCTGCACTTTATATTTGACCTTGAGGTCAAACCCGAGATGGTGCATCTCGGTTCTTAGTGTTTGCTATAGTACCACCGGTAAGGTCAGCGAAGGACATGCATTGAGGAGGACTAATTAATCACTCACCAAAATCATGTTATAGATGTCTTTCTCTTTGGCCTCCATGTCTGCTCAGAGATGCATGGCCATGAAAGGTTTGTTTCCACTTGGAAGCATATTTCACTCCTGATGCATTCACTTTGGGACCTTGTTTCTGACCTTGCCACCATTCTGTGCCTTGTGAGCAGCTCTCTGGGCTTTGGCCGCCTCCCTCTGAGCAGCTTCTGTTGCTAGCTTGAGTGCATCAACTGTGTTCTGGAACTCCAGCAAATGCACTGAATTCAATGTAAGCAGGTTACAGTCCTCAAACCTTTTCAATAGATCACTCACCTTTCAGCTACTCATTTTCAGCTATGAGTGTGACATCTTGTCTGTGCAAGACAGCCTTCTGAGCAGCTGCGGACAGTTTTTTTTGCTGTAGGTCTGCTCTTGTTTGCAGTATGTCCAATTATCCCACTAGGGCCACTGGTGGGTTGTATGTTGGCGGCTGCAAGCATATTGTGGCAGATTGCAATAGGGTGTTTTTGTCTCCCATAGGTGAGTAGAAGCTGTTGAAAGCTAGTGATGAGGCTGCAGGGGCTCATGGATGTGGACAGCTGGTAGACAGGGCTAGCAAATGTCTGGAGAGTTTTGGGATACAAGAGTGCATGCGTATTATTGGAATACTAACATGTCCTTGTGTGTACTCTGCCCCAGGTGCAATTAATGATTGCTGGGTTTCCACCAAGTGTGCGTGTATGTGCACACTTTTTTTCTTTACTCATACATCTTCTCTGGTCACTGTTATCCTATCCACAAAAAAAAATACAAAATGGTATGTTCTACAAACTCCAAACATCAAAAGGTGTTTTGTCCTTACTGTACAATATTTTGCAGTGCCTGTACTGTGTGCCATCATTGTAAAGTGTTAATCCCCCCAGCTTTTGAAAGCAAAATCCCCATTTCAACCTCACCAACAGACACCTCCCCAGCACAAGGCCAATCAACTTGTACAAGCTCATGCATCATCTAGTGGCCATCCTGAATCATTTAGTGGTCAATCTGCAAGTACAGCTACACAATATAACACTCTTATCAATGACACATTCATTAATGCATCATACTCATCTGAGCTTCACAATATTGGTGACTTGAACCATGATGCAGCTGATATCACCATTGAAGCCAGCAGGAATACACCCAAACATTGCACACAATCAAACACAAAGGCATGGGTTGAGGATAACGATGAAAACTCAGACCTTCAGTCTTCAGCTTCTTCCAAACATTTGCAGACAGATCATGCAGACAAGGAGTCAGATGAAGAGTCACACTCGGATACTGGATCTACTGGGCTACCCTTTTGGAAGGAGATTGGTGCAGATATAGACACATTGATGGGCAAATTAGGTGCATAACTAATGGATGCCCCCACATGCTCCCTATCACTCACAAACCAGTAGATGATACAATCTCAGAAAATGACCTAGCTATCCTCTGGGCATTCACACTCAAGGTTTGCAAATATCTAACAGAGGACACTTTCAAGCAAATGTGTTTCATATACCCATCAGCCAATATTCCCTCCCTCAGATTGACATCATCTCATGTAGTATTTTTGTCTGGGCTTGAACCTGTACTTTACAACTGCTGCATTAATTCATGTTGCTGCTACCTTGGCCCAAATGCAGACCTAGAGTGTTGTCTCCACTATGATGCATCTCAGTTTTGCCCATCCAGCTGCATTGTCCACCAAAAGTTCTTCTACATCCCTACAATCCCTCATCTTGTCCCATTCTACAAGAACCCAGAGATGCATGCCAAAATGCAGTACTGATCCTAAGAAGAATCAGCACACATACCTGACACTTGTAAGGATGTTTTTGATGGCTCAGTTTACCAGACGCTCCTCAGCAAACATGTCACTCTATCAGATTCAATTGTGCTACCTCACAACTTCTTCTCAGATCCACAAGACATTACATTGGGGTTTGCAACTGACGAATTTGCTCCATTCCATCACCATCAAACAACAACCCGGCCACTTCTTGTATATAACTACAACATCCCTCCATAACTTTGCTTTTTGAAGCAATACATCATCTGTCTTGGAAAATTGTCCCAGGGCATAAGAAACCAAGAGATTTCAACTCATTTTTGTGGGCTTTTGTCCAAAAACTTCTCCAGCTGGCCATGGGAGTTTGAGCTTATGATTGTCTCCATAAGGTTATCTTTGCACTGTTTTGCACTGCTTGCATATCTCATTCTTGTCTGTGGTATATTCCAGCAATCTCAATGGTGATGAAGATGAAAGGTCATCATGCTCTCTTGCCCTGTTGTATGTATGAGATTTTTAGTGTGCACATTCCTGGAGTTTGTATCTCAGCTCAGTATATTTGCCTTGATTGAAGTACCCTTCCATCTGTTGCAACTTCTCCAAGTCCAGAGCTTACTCCCAGTGAAAAATGACTCTGGCACCACTCATTGTAGTTACTTCTCTGTTGTTTATGTACATTCAGCTCTGTTGAGTCTAGACTGACAACAAAAATAGCACATGGTCCCCTGGAATTTACATTACATAAGGCAAGTTTTGGAGAACAGATTCACATCAAATCTGTTTTGCAATTGGAACTTGCATCAAATCCGTTTCCCACAGTCAGAACTCACGTCGGCGCAGGAACCCAATCCGAGTTGATTTTGTACTGCAGTGATACCACCAATGCCAAATCCCACTAAGTCCGTTCCCTGCACGCAACCACCGCATGCCATGTTTGCCTCAGGCTCTGTTCACACCATCCAACAGCCATCTCAAGACAACAATGGCTACTACTCTGACTGCAATTGCCCAGTCTGCCTATCTAAGAATCTTGGAAAGCCAAGGCGGGTCACCAAATGCACCAAGCAAACACAAGAAACAGTACCCTGATGAACCTGCCGACCATGCTCCTCCCACTCCTCTCCTGGCGTTTGTTGCAGATCGTTTCCTGCTCAACTCTATCCTCTCTGGGTCCTTGCAGTCCTCCCTCACTGCATCATCTTCTTGCCAAAAATGTGTTTACTCTAAGAACACGGACCAAGAGTCGGGCAAAAGGAGAAGAGTGGATGAACAGAGCAGGAAAATGGAGGAGAGGACAGACCACATAGAAGTAACAGGCAGCACTGATGAGGTGTGTCTATTACTCTGCTTGCTCTGACTTTGTTTACATTACAACAGTGACAGGACTCAGATGAACACTCGCATCATTCAGATGCAGTTGAGTATTCGGATGACAGCTATCTACGTGCTCGGACAGCTGAGATTAACATTGAGGTAAGTACCACTGATCACTGCCTTGCATTCATCCTCATAAACTCTCACAGATACCACCTGGAGAGGAATGGCCCTTCAATTTTGAGGAACCACACCCCCAATTTGATGAGGAGGACAACTGGTGTCAAGAAGCTCTTGACATCAACGAGCTTGCAACAAGTGATGATGAGCTGGGTGGCGAAGATGACAAGCTTGTCGAGCAAGTCAACAACCAGGCTCAGCAAGGTCCACAACCACTTGGAGATGATGAAGATGTCACAAACCTCCACCTACCCCTTGACCCACCTATTGAGCAGCCTCGTGACTCGCCCTCACCTCAACCTTCCAACAATCGCCCAGCACAAGCTCTCTCTGGCTGGACAGAGGTAGAAATTGACGAGCTGCACATGGGAACCACCGTCGTGGAGGCCAAGGAGGCTATGGCCTATGTCAAACTACTACAGGAAGCCACCATCAACAATAACCATCATGCCCTGTCGACCACTGCTTGCCTTCAACTCCGCAATCCTTCCGCACAATAGTTGACTTGCAGGCCAATCAGGGCCTTTGTGTTTCACTCCAACACGTGCTTGTTGGTGACACGCAGCACTCGTACCTCGCCCACTGCGCTATCACTGCACAAGAAGTCCCCGGCCTCAATACGCACAGCATATATTGTATAGATCAAGCCATCAAGGAGTTGAGTGGAGTAGAGGGTATGCGGAGCAACATGTGTGTAAAATTGTGTATGGGCTTTACAGGCCCCAACGCAAACTTGTCTCAATGTACCAAATGCCACCAACCACACTTCTGTCCGAAAAATCTAAGCCCCGGAAACCAGTTCCTTGACAAACATTCACATCCAACCCCATCAGTTTGATCCTCCAGGCATTCTCACGTAATCCTGAGATGGCACAGAAAATGTGCTATCAAACTGATTGCACCAACAAGCTTCGGATGGTGGCTGATCCGGTGGAGCTTGACATTTTTGACGACTTCATCAAAGGCTCTCAGTACCAACAGCCTGTTGAGGATGGCATCATCAAAGATGGTGACCCTGTCTTAATGATTGCGGCCAACGGTGCTCAGCTCTATGAGGACAAACAATCTGACTGCTGGATTGTCGCTATGGTTATACTTGACATATTGCCAGCCAAACACTACAAGAAAAAATATGTTGTACCCATCACTGTCATCCTGGGCACTAACAAGCCCCAGAATCTTGACTCTTTCCTTTTTCCATACCACCTCACAGCCATTCAGCATGAGGGTTTGGTGCTCTTCGACGGCCTCACACACAATCTTCGGACATGCAGTCCATTTCTCTGGGTTGAGTCTGCTGACAGACCTGGTATGGCACTTTTAACTGGGCTTGTTGGGCATCATGGCAAGTTCTTATGCCGTCTCTACTGCGGAGTGATTGGACGACATATTCCTGACACATCTCATTACTATCCTGTGCTACAGAGGCCGGACAAAGCCAACCATATACAGCAAAGCAGGCTTTTATCACAACACCATTGACATTAATCACCTCCCATCTCCTGGTGCTGGTGAGTGTTGGGGCAACCTCACCCATGTTCTTGCTTCTTGCACACAGCAAGAGTTTGCCGCTCGGCAACAAGAAACAGGGATCAGGGAAGCTGGGTATTTTTATGGGTATGCCATGATCCTCCCCCCCTCTTT